GCTGAAGGGGTTAATTGTCAATCAAGTTTCTTGTGAAAGTAGTACTTTGAAGCTGCTTTCGGTGTGACTGGGTGTATTCGATACACCTCGCTTCGGTTCAACTGATTCTGATCAACCCCATGTGGGATTTAAAATGATTCGACTTTTACTAGATTTATTTGAAGATGCCTTCTGAGAAACAATTATTGCACTTTTTGAACTGGAACGAAATATGAAGGATATAAATATGTTTTTAGTGACCATGATTTGAACATTTATTTAGTGAAGAAAAGGGCTTTTTGGGAAGTGTAAAAACGATTATTATGACTTTGAGGCTGAGTGTTTTATTAAAGCTATTGTAAGAATATGGTGATTTTTTTCTGAGTATTATTGAATATTCACATTGCATGGCGACAACAAATCTAGGTTTTTCTTTCAAACTGCGTTTTTGTATTATGACCAAAGATTTTTTTAGGTTTTTTCACATGAGTATACGTATGTATGCTCATATAAAAGTGGTATAGTCAATTTATTCCAAGTATTAGTTGACGACCAGTTGGTTTCCGTTAAATGAATTCATGATGGGATCTAGAGTAGTGCTTTTTGTCACCTGTTGTATAACAACGTTGTTTTTCCTTTTCACTTCTCAATATTTGGTGTCATGCAGACTATTTTTTTGGAATTTTGAAGACAGTAATTCGTTTGATTTCTGTTACGTACACTGGAATGAAAAAGGACAGCTATATAGTAAAACTGTACTTTTTCTAGAGTATTGTTCGAAAAACTTTTGGATACAGATAATTTGCAGGAGGATCATATACGGCTTAGTGTTTCCTGGTGCAGTTTCGTCTTACTCAGGTTTCGCTTTATTTACAGTTGTCACCTCACAACCTCTGATCGATTGTTCCATTTTTCCTAATTTTCTTTGCTTTCTGTTCGTAAGCCACAATTGGCTGGGAAAAATTCTGTAGTGGAGTCGGCACGAAACTGAATGAACCCAATGAAGTGGCGATGAGTAATGTATGTATGCAAAAAAATTGAAAAGAAAATTTAAAAAGTTTTAAAAAAAATGGAGTAGCGAAAGCGATTGGTAATTTTTTTGTAGGCAAATAGATTTAAGAAGGAGATAAACAAAACGGAAAAAGAGATGACGATGGCTATGAAGTTGAAGGTGACAATAGTTTAGCAAAAGTGCTACATTGAATTTGCACTGATACTGCTACTGCTACAGTTGACAGGTAGTGCAATGTCTTATGACACCTGCTTATTGGTGTACTTGGTTTTGGCTACAGAATGGTATCTGTTTAGTTTAGTACATGATAAAGGATTCTAGTGTTACTAAGGATTGCAAAAAACAATCCGAAACATTAATATTTTTAGCGGATTATTGTAGTATAAAATTTCGTACAATTTTTTAGGTTTTTTTACACTTATGCTCTAGTTTAATCTTTTGCTCATTTGCTGAACTACGGAAATACTATTAACTTCTTTTGTAGTGTTAACCAGTTTAACATCTGGTTATGGTGATTTTTTTAAGGGGATATATATTTCTATATTTACTTCTAATAAAGAGAAGTTGGTGGGTAATAATTACAAATACATAATTAGCGAAATAAAACTATGATACATATTCGTCTGCCCATATATGGTATAGCACTATCAGAATGTAGTTACTGTTCGGATTTCATTTATGACATTCTATTGTTGCTTTCAGCTTTTCATTACTTTCTATCTATCCATCTATCAGTCTGTTTGTCTGTCTATCTGTCGTTCTATTTTTGTTCCAATTATTTGTAAAAATTTTGCTCTGAAGTGGTTCGGTTTATATGGTACCCGTGTAAATGATTACTTTTACTTGCATCATATAACGGTATTTTCATAAAATTTCATATTTTGATATGTTCGAATCAAACTTTATTTCTTTTCTATCTCTGTTATCTATATTGTTAAATGATTTGTTTAAAAATTGCCCGTTTCTTTTGCCATTGTACGCAGTACTGAGCTGAAAATGTATTGACGCTTGAAATTTATTCTTCAGTACTCATAATTGCTTATAGCTTGTCAGAATAATCGACAGCTACAACTGCAAGTGCGCTATTGGGAAACTATTGTAATTGAAGATATAACAAAGGAGTTGGTTAGTTCATTATAATAATTTGTAATATGTAGTAGTTTATTTGTTTACTTACCATCTGCATTTAGCGACAAGTAACACCATAAAGGTTGTGATGATGAGGAGGAGGACGACAACGAAAACGAACATGGAAAGAGACATTTGAGTACCACTTACCAAAAAATACATCACTGTTTATAACTGTTTTTTATCTACCTTTTTTTCCCAATCAAATACACCTATTTTTTCTTCTTCTGTTAGTTTTTATGTCCACTCAGATATTTCAGTTTTAATTACTTCCGGTTAATTGACATAGTCGGGAAAAGAAATAATTATCGAATTATACAGGAAACAAATTTCTAGCTGCTGTATTTGTAATATATAAATGTAACTATGCATTTCTTTCAAGAAAATGCCAACTTTTTTCTTTTCTGAATGTCTGGTACTTCCTATGTGGGTTTTTCTGTCACCAGTTGTGGTTTTGCTTTATCTAGTGATCCAAATTTTGCCAGGAAAACCGCATTCATTTTCAAATGGACCAGTTACACATTCGTGGGGAGGGGAGGAACCTTTAGATTACGAGTATTTTGCGACTTCAATAGGCGATTGACGGTGGAATGGCGGCTGAGCAAAAAAACCTTACTAATGTATGTCAAAAATTATAGAGCTTGATGTCTATTGCTTGAAAATTGCACTCAACATAGAAAAGACGTTGAAAAAATTAGTGGAATGAAGGAGTGGCACTTAAGGTAAAAAAGTTAAATGCGACAGAAACATTGGTTGAATATTGTTGTATTCGTTAAAACTGGATGAATAAAATCGCTCAAGGAGTATTGTTGGCATTAGGTGATATAAGGACCTTCATTGCTTTACCGTATTATTGGCAACTTTGTAGTGATGTGAGCTTTCAAGCAATCGGCACCACTCTTGAGTTGCACTACAGAAACGTGGATCCACTTGTTTCGCGCCTACTTTTTTCTCTAACCCGACAGATTTTGCTGGTGGTCTTTTTCTGGTATGATAAATCATTTTACCTCTGTTACTCAACGTACGGATTTTATAAGACTGAATGCATTTTGTATTTTGAGACTTTTTAACGACGTTGGTTTTATAAGTTGCTGTTGCTATTGCTCATTTAAATCTCCAGCTGTGGGAGTTAAATGAGCGTAACATTGTATGATAAATTACAGTGGGTATCTAACTTTGGTATCTACTACCTTTTAATACCAAAACTTTCAGTTTTTTCTGTCTTGAATTTGTTTTAAGAAAGTTGCAGATGACAGAATGATAAGGTACAATATTAAGAAACTTGTCATTCAGGCTGCATTTGTTTTACTTTATGGAGTTTGAGGGTTTTTTGAAGCGCTTTAATGAAAACTACATGCCGCTGTTCCCGTCCTACTTTCATATATTAATCTTATGAATAATAAAGCCGACTTTTCAGCAAAAAATGGTTGACCCAGAACGAATATTGGCTAATGCATTGGACGACGAATATAGCAGTCTTTATTTGGCAGATGACATGATGTCTTCTCTTGAAGTCTCCTCGGATGGTCAGGAGGATGAAAATAATGGCAAGGACAGCACACCAACAAAGTATTTTACTGGTTTATTATTTATGATTATGAAGTTTTTTCTTGTCCAACCTAGCACGTTTTCGAAAACCAGAGTAGCGTAGAAGTAGTGGGATTTTGTGATTTAAATTAACGCTACAGAATTTCACTGATTCAAAACTGCTGATTCTTTGTTATTCTTCGTTTCTACCATATTTCCTTCGTTAGTCTTAGTATAAGCTTCAGTTCAGCTTTTGCAGTCTTTTGGGGTTAGGTCGATTTTCAATTGTTTCTGGAACACTGAGTATTAGTTTACTCAATGGAGTCGTAGAAAAAGGCAGGCAATAAAACTTCTTCAGAGACAGAAGAGGGTTGGTGGACCCAACAGTTGAAGTGATAGATCTTTTTGCCTCTGGCGAACTGTTAGACATGAATGAAGATTGCAAACTTACCATTGACACTCATGTTGCACTGCCGCAGACGCTTTGCACGGACCCGCAGAGTAAGTTCATCTTTGTGTATCTTTCCTTGCTTTTTATGCATATCACATTTGTTGTCTTCCACTCCCAATAATTTCTAGCGTTATGCATAGTTATTTAATCACTTTAGTGGGCTAGAGTTGCCTTAACTAGACTTTCCCGATGAAAGGACGGTATGTGGGATGCAGCTATTTCAAAATTTTGCTTGTAGCAGTCTAGTTTTAATTTTGTAAAGGTCTCTTTGTGTCCACAGTCCAATTTTTTATACGTGACTTAATGTTACTGCCACGGAGTTTTTCACTGAAAAAAAAAGAAGAAAAAATTTAAAACATGGCTGACTTACAACATCATTTGAAAATCTTTTCATTTATTTTGAGTCCTCGTACTTGGTCAAGAAGCTTTAGAGTCTAAAACTGCAGATTAGTATGAGGAATTTTGAAATTGCCTGTGTAAGATATAGAGGCATCACTAACATGTTTTTTGGTCATTCTTAACCTTCGCAATGATTGTGGAATAGGTGGATCTGCTGTTGTGTAGCAATTTGCGCACCATTACTTGATCCAAAGTTATTTGGCTGTCGCACTGCAGCGACATACAACGCGTGCTATTAGTATGATATCTTTGGCATTTTCGTATTGAGGCTAGCACAAGAAGTTGCCTATAACATTCTCGTTAATTTTTTAATGGATTGAGGTGTTAATTCTTCGTGCATCCTACGCTCCACTGTTTAGCATTTTAATCTTTCAGTTCGTCTTGCATTGTCAAAAGAGGATCTCAGTTGTATACCTCCATGTTATACTATAATTGAAACTGCGATTCTTTGTGGTGACAACCCAGATAATCCTTTTGACACTTTTGCAAGTACTTTTCGTCAACGATGTATCCAGGAAACAATGAAGGATCGTTATGAATGTATGTTTTCGTTTGATGAGTTTCTTGCAATGCTTGCTCACGTTTGTGCTTGTCCAATTTCGAGCCTTCTTCCACCCGCAGAAGTTTCTTATCCCGCAGAACGTTACTTATCTGACCAACTTCGAATTCCCAGATTAAAGCTTGTCAAGTTCATCGATCTGAAACGAGTTTCGATTGCCCGAGTAAGGCTTTGTCTAGGGGGATTAACGCTTTAATTCTTGCCTAAAAACCTAGTATTAGTAATTATGGACTTTCAGGTTAAATTCCTTTTCGACTTGATTTCATTCTGGGATTTCATGCATTATAGTGAAACTGAACTCATGTTACTTTTATTTGCCTTTACAAAAATTTATGTGGACGATCTGGCAGACATTCGTCTAAAATTGTCAATTTGTAAAGCTGTTGATAATGTAAGATTTTTACGAGCTATGATATTTCTTATTTTCGCTTAGTCATGTTATTAGAAAACCACTGTGCTGAGTTTTAGGTTTTTAGCGGATTTACGGAAAAAGAGCGGCTTGATGTTTTTTACTTCTTCTCCTCCATTTTCCAGGTGATTACTACCATTTTGATTTCTTCAGGTTTTGATCTCTTCTGGATGAAGAGATTTAATATTTAATATTGTTTGGTTTTATTTTATTTATAAAATATTACAAACCTCTTTTTCTGTATAATTTTTGTTCTAGTTTATTGACGATTCTGTGGGTGTTCTTCGTGTAGCTATGAGATTCCTGTGCGATGCTCCTGTTCTGAACCGGTGTAGGCTGATCTGTTTGAGACGCATTCTGGTGCATTTCGTGGAACGGGCAGAATTAGATCCAGAAGACAGTAAAGTAACAGAGAAGGAACATTTTGCAGTCATAGTTGCCTTATTTGGAGATTTTCTTCGGATTTTTGAAAAGGTTAGACAGCTTAAAATTCTTACTTTGGAACTGTTGCTACATTTGATAATTGATATTTTAGAGTCGACAGAAACTATATTTAATGTTTGGGCTTTTATCGGAAACAATCGATTACCACATAATACGCTCAGTAGATGTTGAAAGTGTGGCAAAACTGTTAGACCTTCTAAGAA